TGCTGGTAGAATGGTTTAGGGGAATAGAACCTCAGATTGTTATGACTTGAATCGTGTCAAGGATTGATCTATAAGCAGAATGGTAGCCAAGTGAACTGACCAGGGTTTAGACAATTAGACTGGACGAACATTAGATTGGCTTAGTCCAATGGTTAGTTATAAAATATTCTGCTGCGTATAAGTTTAAATGATCAAAACTATGAACGACTAATGTAGTCTTTAGCTAAGGTCAAAATTATCCCTCGCACCAAGGTGATAATATAGATGAAGGGCGAAATTTTTTGAGATTTGGTCAGAAAGTAGACCGGGCGACTTGGTGCTTCGACCGCGGCCTAGACGGCCGGATCGGGGTGTTACAAATGCACTTCGTGCAAAACGTAAGCTTGGCTTCATCAAGGGTACCATTTCCAAATCAGCCGCATGAGATCCAAATTTGGAACTATGGTTGTCAGTTAATTCTATGATCGTAGGATAGATCAAAACGTCTATCGAGTCGCGAGTAAGGTCCATTGTTGTGTTTATCCAAGACTTACACAAATTATGGAAGAATCTTTGTAGACGTTTCTCAATGGGTAATATAGTTCATATACATCATCTGAAGGATAAACTCACCAGATGCAAACAAGATGGCCAATCAGTGATTGATTACTTTGGTTGCTTATCAAAGATGTGGGAAGAACTCAACATGTACTCTCCTCTTCCAAAGTGTACATGTTCAGCTATTATGGAATTTTATGAAGCAAAGGAAGTAGAGAAAATTCATCAGTTCATCATGGGTTTGGACGAACATTGTTTTGGTGGTTTATGTCAATTTATTATCTCTTTAGACTCAGATCATTACATCAGAGAGATCTATGCGACAACCATTTGTGAAGAACAACGACTCAGCTCATCTATAGAATTTGAAACACAACAACTAGCAGTAGGATTCGTAGCCAAAACGAACTCTGGTTTGAACAAAAAGTGTCGTGTGTCATCCCATGAGGTTCTGAGAAACAAGATTGGGTCTCTACTTGCTCCCACTGTGGACGTCGTGGTCATGATAAAACAGGTTGTTGGCAACTCGTCGGTTTCCCTGACTGGTGGAAGACATACCACCAAAAAGAGGCAACAATGGTGGAAATAGATGAGCAAACAGAGGAAGTCATGGACATGGCAATAATTTCTCCGACAGACCAAGGAACATGGATTCTCGAGCTAGCAATGCTCATGCAGCGACTTCAAATTTATCATCATTTCCTGAGTTTACGCAAGAACAATGGCAAGCACTCACTAAGATGGTGAATGAAAGGGCTCATCCTTCAACTGACAAACTTTTCGGTAAAAACAAACATGGTGATTTGATACTTGACCCTGGAGCTTCTCATCACATGAATGGAGACATGTCATTATTGAAGAATATCTTCAGTGTCATACTGTGTCCAGTTGAGTTCGCATACATGAATAAGATATTTGCAACTCACATGGGTGTTTTTCCTTTATCGGATACGATCACACTGAAGAGTATCGTATTTGTGCCTAACCTTAATGGCTCTTTAATCTCCGTATCAAATTTTCTCAAACAAACAAATTGTTTTGCTTTACTAACCGACATCTTTCATGTACGAGGGCCCTAATTGTAACCGGTAAAGAGTGAGATTGGGTATACTACTTTAAAGATGTTATGGCTGCACGGGTTCATCGTATAACAAATCAAGTTGTTAGCTCAGTGAATCAGTTTCGTTGGTACCAGAGGCACATACATCCTTCTTGTACAATTTTATCGTCATTACCTATGTTTTTCAAATAAAACTGCAGACCCAAGGTCTTGGGACACATGTTTTCGGGCAAAGCAGACTAGAGAAGTATTTTCTGACAATCTTAATAAAACCAACGAGTGTTTTAAGATGATTCACTGTGATTTTTGGAGGCCTTAACACGCTCATCTTGTGGAGTTGTTTATTTTCTTAAATTTTTTGACGACCATTCAAGAGCCGTCTAGACTATATTTCTTAAAATCAGAGACTAGACAGTTCTTCAGAATTTTTGTGCAATATCCGAAAAGCAATTTAGGAAATCGGTCAAAATAGTTCTTTCAAATAATGGAATAAATTTCACATGTCTTGCTCGCTATTTCCGTGAGAATAGAGTTCTTCATCAAACTTCTAGTGTCAAAACGCCTCAACAAAACGGACGTGTCCAAAGGAAACATAGCATATCCTTAATGTGTCTCATGCACTTTTGTTTCAAAGAAGCTTACCAGTTAAATTTTGGGGTGAGGCAGTGATAACAACAGCTCACCTAATTAATCGCACACTAACAAAGATTCTCTATGGTCAATCTTCTTATGAAGTGCTTTACGGTCGCAAGCCACAATATGATCAGCTTCGCGTCTTTGGAAGTATGTGTTCTTCACACTAGAGATAAAGATAAATTTGGTTCTCGAAGTAGAAGATGTATATTTGTTGGCTATCCTTATGGTCAAAAAATTTGGAAGATCTTTAACTTAACAAAAAAAAAAAAATTCTTCACTAGTCGTGATGTAATCTTTCGTAAAGCAGAATTTCCGTTTGTTTCTTCAGAGTTTCCTTCCGTGTCTCAGTCCCCTGCTCAAACTTGTCCTCTGTTTTCCGATGATGATTGGTTAATCTAACTGGTTGGTAGTTTCAGCGACATGGGGAGCAAAAAGGCTGTTACGAAAAGTAACTATAGTGGGACAGCTTCTCTGCCTGGTCCATTGCATGTTGTTCCCTCACAAACAGAGAAAGCAAACTTATCTACTCCAATATCTACTCAAATAGTTGACTCGCCTGCAGAAGCTACAACACCAACTCTTGAAACAGAACTTCTTGGTAGAGGACACATAATACGAGAATCATTAGTTAAATATCAAGACTACATTGGTTATACTGCTGTTTGTCTTCAAGATACCCCACTCGCTCAGTATTGTGATCCTTCATCATCCTTCGAACCGTCTCAGGTAAGACACCTTACCCGTTAGTTGAGTATATTATTGATGTGCGTTTCTTACCTTCGCATCAAGCGTATCTCGCAGCTGTCACTGTAGGAGTTGAACCTATGAGTTTCTCTGAGGCTATTAAGCATAAAGTATGGTGTCAAGCCGTACATGGTGAAGTAGATGCTCTTGAAGAACGAGGTACTTGGGATGTTATTGATCTTCCACCCAGGAAAGTTTCCATCGCATGTATGTGGGTTTTTAAGATCAAATGTAATGTTGACGGCACTGTTGAGCACTACAAAGCTCGTCTTGTGGTCTGTGGAATTCGACAAGTTGAAGGAGCATATTTCAATGAGAGTTTTGCACATGTCGTCAAAATGACTACGATTCGTGGTCTACCTCGTTCGGTTGCAGCAAATAATTGGAAAATGCATCAAATGGATGTTGATAATGCTTTCCTCCATGGAGATCTCGACGAGGAAGTATATATGAATTTTCCACTGGGATTTAGTTACTCTGATCCAAAGAAGGTGTGTCGTCTGCGCAAGTCATTTTATGGTCTTCGAAAAGCACCCAAATATTATACTGATAAGCTGGCTAAGTTCAAAGCATATCTAGAGAAGTGTTTTCATATGAAAGTTCTAGGAAAGCTGAAGTACTTTCTCGGCATGGAAGTGGCTCGCTCAGCAGAAGAAATATGTATGTGGGTTCAAAACCAGCTTTTCGGCACCTATGGAATAGAACCACCAACTTGCTTCCGATAAGGTTCCATTATTTTCAGATCCCATAAAGTCCAGACGTTTAGTTGGCAGACGTGTTTATCTCTCTATCTCTCGGTCTGAGCTGTGCTACTCCATACATATTTTCTCATAATTCATGCATGCTCCTATCGAAGCTCCTTGGGAAGGAGCACTGAGAGTTGTTCATTTTCTTAATTAAAAGCTCTCTTGGCAAGAATTTTTGTAAGGCGGATGTTAACCTTGTTATTAGCGTACTGCAATGTAGATTGGTCGTCATGCAACTTATCACGTCCCTCTCTCAGTTATTTTGTCGTACTGCTTGGTGGGTCTCCTATTGCTTGGAGAATTAAGAAGCAATATATGATTTCTCTTTCTTCTTCAGAAGTAGAAATCGCGTGATTGATGCAGCAACAAAAATAAATACGATGGCTTATTCAATTTGTGTCTGATCTTGGTGTTTCGGTTACTAAACCAGTCATTTTTACTGTGATAGTCAAGCCGCCATTCATATTGCGTATAATTTGGGTTTTCACAAAAGAAAAAAAAATACATAGAAAGAGATTGTCACTTTGTTCAAGACACAGTTAGTGCTGGTCCTATTTCTGTGTGTCATATCAGTACAAAGGACCAGCTCGCAAACACTTTTACTAAAGCACTTGGTCAACTGTAATTTGATCATTTGTTGTCCAAGTTGTGGGAGTTAAAAATCTTTTCACTCTCCAATTTGAGGAGAAGTATTAGAATTTTCTTGTAACTAAAAGGATAATTATGATAATATTTAGAATATATTCTTATGTGTTTGGATATTTTCCAATTCTTTGTAGGGTTTATCATCGATCACCCAGCTATAAGTATCATGTAATCATCATCATTTATCAATAAGAAGAACATTCAAGTTCTTAGATTTACAAACAACCAAAAAAATAGACTATTATATAGCCTCTACACAGCTCAAATAATATTGTAAATATTTTGTCTTCTTTTATATCTAAAAAGGGAATGCTTCTGACCATTATTTTCCAAACAAAAAAAACGTATCTTAACTTCGCATCAACGTAATAGAAGTTTAAGCTTGATGGCGACATTAATCAATATGTACCATCTGCACTGCACGCGTATCAAATGTTCGGCTAGACTAAAAAACAAATACAAGAGAATCAAGTAAAGTAAAGAGAAAAATAATGGGATTTTGACCAATTTAAAAAGGCAACCCAACTTGTCCTATATTAATATTATTCGTACACAGTTAATTTTTCACAGGTGTGTATATATATAAATCACATCCCTCATGCAAATTCACCTGAGCATTACATAAGTCCATACAAGTGTCGGCAAATATCTAAATATATGTTCTAAAAGACCTGAAGTCCCAAGTTTTTATATATAAATCATCATGATTATGAAGATATCTATGGCCATGTGCAAACAGCCATTGCCTCCTTCGACGGCGTTAAACTTCCCCCCGGCAAACTTTGGTCCTAATATGCTAACTCTAAGCCCATCCGGTCCAAAGGATAAAGTCGTGGTCATCATGGGTGCTACCGGAACAGGCAAGTCACGTCTCTCCGTTGATCTAGCCACTCGTTTTCCAGCAGAGATCATAAACTCCGACAAGATCCAAGTTCACCAAGGCCTTGACATTGTCACTAACAAGATCACGACCGAGGAGAGTTGCGGGGTACCGCACCATCTCCTAGGTGTCTTGCCTCCTGAAGCTGACTTAACCGCTGTAAACTACCGTCACATGGCGAATCTCTCTGTTGAAAGCATCCTTAGTCGTGGAAAGCTTCCAATCATCGTTGGAGGTTCCAACTCTTACGTTGAGGCTTTAGTCGACGACGAAGACTACAACTTCAGGTCGAGATACGATTGCTGTTTTCTATGGGTTGACGTGGCACTTCCCGTTTTGCACGGATTCGTGTATGAGAGAGTTGATAAGATGGTGGCAAATGGAATGGTTGAAGAAGTTAGAGACTTTGTTGATCATTCGGATTCTGATTACTCGAGAGGAATCAAGAAAGCAATCGGGGTCCCAGAGTTCGACAACTTTTTCAGGAATGAGCCGTTCTTAAACATGAGAGACAGAGAAGAGTTGTTGAGTAAAGTGGTAGATGACATAAAGAGAAACACCTTTGGATTAGCTTGCAAACAGAGAAATAAAATAGAACGGTTGAGAAAGATCAAGAAATGGTGTATTCAGAGACTGGATGCGACTCCGGTTTTCACAAGGCGTAGGTCAAAGGTGGATGCTGACGTTGCGTGGGAGAGGCTGGTGGCTGGACCAAGCACCGACGCTGTGTCACGGTTCCTGCTCGACTTTGCCAGTCCTCGACCACTAGTGGAAGCATTAACCGCGGTGGCTAGGGAACGTGAGATGTCGCGGTGCCTAATGGTGTAATAATCGGCTATAACCACATAAAGATAACGTTGGGATCTTGGAAAATGTGGTGATATATGCCCAAGTCATTTTGGTATTGATAGTGTTGCAATGGTCAGCCATATTCAAGACTATGATGAGTGGAGAGATATTAGAAAATAAAGTTATATTCACGGCTATACATCGTATAGTAAGTAATTAAGTATTGTGAGATACTGAAGTTTTGGCATAACGATTATTCAGTATTATCATCTACTTTTTTTTTGGTTGCAAGTGTGACTGTGAGTGGAATGCTATAATTGGAAATGAGACTTGCTTGCCTTCTTAACTATTTGATTTTAATAACACAACGACTATACTGAGTGGGGCTTAAAGTTGGAAATTTTTATATTCTTTATATAGTGGATACTTTATACAGTATTTATGTGATTTCTTTAAATGTAAAATGTTAAATGCAGATACACGTACGCAATGAACTAATTTTCAGTTGCAATACACAGTGGCATTATCTAATACGAGATTTACAGCAAAAAGAAAACTGATTAGAAGTGGGACAAATATTTGACATATATATTCAAAACAAATAATAATAGGGATATATGTCGAAGATATAGTAACGCAGAAAATCGCCTTGGCTGTTGTTAACAAGTTTCGACTCTGAAAATAAGAAGAAAAAGACAAAAGTAAAAAACAACAACAGAGTGTTTCAAAAGAAAAAAAAAAAAACACAGAGAAGTCTGATGCTAGTTGTAGATTCTTTTAGTTCTTTGGTAGCAAACGAAAAAGGCCGTACATGTAAGAAACAGTAGTACCGCACTCCGAATCCGTACATTGAAGTCGTTGACAATAATGTCTTTTAGCATTTTTTCTATATTAAAGTGGGTCCCACTATATATCTTAGTTTGCAATGCCGTCTTAATTGGAATTCATCTGTGTCTGTTATTATTCTCTTTTGCCCGTGTGCAATGAGCGTCCTCTATGCGGCTCCCCGAGTGCTTAATATATTTATTATCTACCGTTACCAGATTTTCAGTGGGTCAAGTAACATTTATTAAGAGCATCTCCAAAAATACTCTATATTTAAAGTTGATAAAATTATTAGAATGATACACAAAATCTTGTATATGACTAGAATAGTATATATTTTTAAAAAATTATTAGAATATTTTTAGACTCCTAGTAAATTACAATAAACATCCTTGTTTAATTTTGTTACTATTGATACAAATTTTAATTATTAAATCCACATCATAATTTGACAATCCACGTCACTAACTAATTTGTGTCATCAGTTACACTGGAAAATCAACAGTCCCATATCTCCGGTGAACAAAAAAAAAGTCTTAATGTTACATTCTTCTCCGTCACAACTATCGTTAAACCCTAACCGATTACG